CCAAACCTAAGTAGGTATTTGGGATGGTGTTGTGTTGCTCGAGATTGACTTTTTGAAGGTCTTAGCCTCATCTTGTAATCGGCTGAAATTCTACTTAGTCTTTTTGCGGTCTCAAACATAGAGGAATCAGGATTTTATTTCAAGGTCAGGAAGATCACAACTGTGGGAATATCAATAAATTGCCTGTGCACTGTCTGATACATCCTAACTTTGATTGGTATTCCAACCAATAACGTGATTCATTGCAAATTTAAAGAGGTGGTATTATGGTGGTATCTTCATGTTCAAAATTCTATTTAGGGGTTGTACCAGAATAGGTTTACATGGTTTAATTTTCAAAAAACACCATATTTTTTATCATACTGCACATTTCTGCAGCTCGTCTTTTCACGTGTGTTGAACGCTTCGTTTTAACTATGGAGTGATACATCTTGTATCTAAATATCTTTGTTGTTAGTTGCACATGCGCAGTTCCTAGTTAAAGACTACTAGCCAATCAGAAGCAGAGAAGGGCGGGTCATTGAGAAGCCAGCTCCGGTTCAGCTATACATGTTGCCGACCAGCTTGGCAACATAGACTGGAGCAAGAGTTTCAGAGTGGTGAGTTATTAATCTGTAACAAATATATCTTTCATTCGTAAAAGTTTTAACTGAATTCTGTCACTACATCACAGTGACAACTTTATGTCCATTGACTGCCTGGAGGGTAGCTAGTGTTTGGAAGGGAGAGGAGAGGTGTGCTGCAGCTCAGTGTTTTTCCACCGGTGTTTTTGAGGGTGTGTCGGACTAGCCGCTTGGCAAGCGTTATATGAGATGCATTTGGCTTTGTGACATCACAGGGATTAAAGGGAAAAGGATGGACTACAAACAAGCTGTGTTCAGTCAGTTCAGAGCAGTGTTTTCTGTGGGAGATGGGAACTCTTTTGGGGTGGCTTTTTCACTTTGCAAACCTATTACATAAAACATGCATAAAAAGGTATATAACTCAATAAAGGAGATGGGAAAAGCCAAAAAGCATAATACACCTCTTTAAAATGTTTGTTAACAGCTGTAACCCTTCCTCCTTCACACGAAAGTGAATGTGGAGATAGGAGAAGCTGTGGCAGTCTTGGAGTGGGAGGATACAGCAAAATCTTTGTAATAATAACTACTGGTTACCTAAACCATAAAGAATTATTCTGTATTAATCTCACTTGATAAACAATGACGAGACAGCCCCATAAACTATGTAGCATCTTGGTCTCAGTTTTGGTGGTCTTGACTACAACACTAATCTAGGAATGTTGCCCTCGGAATATGTGTGTCATCTGTTTGGTTGCATTGTAGGGAATTTATGGAGTAATTTTGTTGCTGGAACGCAAGAGCATAGGTTTTGCTTCAACATTGGAGTGGATACATATTAATTGGGGGTCTGAAAAATGTTGAGCATTAGCTGCTTATTTGCTGCATTGTGGTGACATTTTCTGACCAATTTCTGCCTTTTCTGCATCATTTTATGGGGGAATATCTTTATTTTTATAAAGGAATACAAAATTCAGGCGGCATGTGACATAAAAACACAACAGAATATAATGCGGTAAGTTCTCTCAGGCAATGTGTATTGCTTTCATATATGTATTCTCCTGTAGATTTTTCTTTTCTCATGTAATATTACCCCTGCTGAGTCAACACACATGTAGACGTGATTTAATCTTTCCTCATCTTTTCTGGGCAGAGTTGATTTGCACTGTGTTTCAATGTTATCAGTTGTTCACAAATGTGTGACGCGAGAATGTGTGAAAAGTGTCAATTGGGAGATCACAACAGGGCCTTTCCGAAAGTGCTTGCTACTCCCTACACTAACATTTCATATCACCATTCACAGGTTAACAACATTGTGTTCACTAAAAAATGCTCTTGTCTGATAGACAACACAACTGTTGTTTTTATTGAATTGTATTTCATCTCATATGACAATCTTCAACCAAAACAGCCTACATTAAATGACTGAATGAATAATAGAACATGGCACAACTAGGCACACAGGGGGATCACGTAACAAGCAACAAAGGCATTAAAGAAAAATAGTAAAGTCTTTATACAGTTTTACTGTTTTAAATTCTTCAGACTATATAATGCTTCAATACAATGTTTGATTTATTTTGTTGAAAT